GTTTTATTAACTTATATCTTGCAGTAATGTACAAGAACAATAAAATTATACCTCTAACAATACTTTATCTTCTATAAACATCATCAATACCTGGTTTTATTAACTTATATCTTGCAGTAATGTACAAGAACAATAGAATTATACCTCTAACAATACTTTATCTTCTACAAACATCATCAATACCTGGTTGTATACTTTGTAAAGGTACTGTGATATCTGCAAGCGACAAGACGTCTTGCACGGAAACTTTAGATGGAGAAACTGATGGAACTCGATTTTCTGTTTCCAGTTTAGAACTTGAGTCTTGGGGATGATGTACACGTAATAGGGACGGTGAGCTTGGTGTTTGTACTTGTGGTTGTTTAGGTAGCAGATTCATTGGAATTTTGTGGGGAGCACTAAAATTGAAACAGTGAATAAAACAAAAATCTCCATCAAACCTTTTCAACCATATAAAAGTTCTGAGTTTGATTATAAAAATATCAATTTATACTGTTCTAACATGACAGCTTGATTATCAAAATAACCTTCTACTGTGTTAGAGTGATAGTCTCATTATAATATAACGTAACGTAATGTTTTGGAACAACAAGGGACCTATTGGTCCATCTAGGCTGCCCTATCCTCTAAGCTAAAAACTATTAAGTAAATATAATAAAAACCTCAAAGCCAACCGGTATCATTCATAACTTATCAGGCTTTTTCTTAAACTCACTTAAATTTACTGCCTCTACAACATCCGAAGGAAACACATTCCAAAGGTCAAGTATCCTGTTAGGAAAATAAAACTGTCTTAGTTGAAGATGACTCCTACCTGCCATAATTTATATTTGTGTCCCCTAGTCCTACTATTCTCACTGTTAAATATGAAAATAGATGATGCATCAACATTATCAATTCCCTTTACAATCTAAGACAATTTCAAAGATCTTAACCTCTCCATCCAAACAGTTCGATTGAACTGTGACTAGAAAAAAATAATTTTTAATCAACTCCATTTTACTTCTACAATTACAATTACAATAATAAAAACAGGCCTCAATATCACTAAAAATACTAATTCTTAAGATAAAACCAGAATATAATACACAAAATTACAAGTAGATAACTAAAACTAAGAGAGAATTCTGAGGCGTTAAAGAAATAACCATGTAATTTTAACTTCAAGAGTTGTCAGTCGTATATATAACACAAACTACCACTGATTGGTGTTTAAACACCATCTGAAATTTACCTTGGAAATTCAGACTTAGTTGGGGCATTGGCTGGTAAACTTTTTTTAAGCAACGACTGACTTAATACGTCTAATTCTTCTAATCCTTTTACCGCAGCTGTTCTAACACTGTTTTTATCTGTATTCTCAGTAGCACATGTTGGAACAGGAGATTTTGCTGAAACAGAAGAAATGATTAGTTAAAACTAACATAAAAATTCCAAAATATTGTTAGCAACCAAGATACTTCAATGATAGTTCAATACACTGTGACCTATGACAGTAAGTACTTCCAGTCAGTTTGTTATATAGGAATGGCTTCATTCATTTGTAACTTATATTTTATTTTCCTCTATAAAGTTACCTTATTAAGGAACAAGAACTATACTTTTACATGTACATGTTAATATCAGTAGAGCCAATTGCTACAGGTACAGTAGGCTAATACTACACAAGTTTAATGTTACGATAAAAGTGTTGAAATATTAATATCAGTAGAGCCAATTGTCACACGTACATTAGCCTAATATTACACAAGTTTAATGTTACGATAACGTTGACATATTAATATCAGTAGAGCTAATTGTAACAGGTACAGTAGCCTAATATTACACAAGTTTAATGTTACGATAACGTTGACATATTAATATCAGTAGAGCTAATTGTCACAGGTACAGTAGCCTAATATTACACAAGTTTAATGTTACGATAACGTTGACATATTAATATCAGTAGAGTCAATTGTCACACGTACATTAGCCTAATATTACACAAGTTTAATGTTACGATAATGTTGACATATTAATATCAGTAGAGTCAATTGTCACAC